GTTTATCAGTTCTGCCTTCATGTCAAGGCCGTCAATGGTCACGAGTTGGGTCACCTTATCTTCAACTTCATCCTTCAGGGATTCCCTCGGATCCCACCCAGTCAGTTGTTTTAGGAGCCCTGTATGTCAAAGTTCTTTTGATACTTGCTATTAAGTCAAACCTAAAGTGGCAGTGGTCAGATAGAGAGGCTTCGTCAGAGACGTGCCATCCCTTCGTTTCCAGGTGACCAAGGCTTAACAACAAAGTGAGGTCCAAGATTTCCTCTCTTATTCTATTTCTGAAGGTTGGTACATTACCTATATTTTCTATTTGTAAGTCAACCTTAAATATAAATTCCAGGAGATCCTTACCTCTTTCATTGGTGTCAGAACTCCCCCAGATGGTGTGGTGAGCATTTGCGTCACAGCGGAGGATTAGGGGCATCCTCTTGCTCCTAGCATACTCACCAACTGCAATACTGCCCCCGGAGGACAAGTTTCTCCTGGGTTGGGGAAGTAGGCTGAGGCTATTAAAGCCTTTTGCCTCCCTGCTGTGGAGTTGAAGTCAGCTTGTATTGTCACCAAGTCACGGCTGTTGAACTCTGAAACAGCTAAGCAAACGTTGTTAGGCTTCATCTGGAGGCCCTAGGGCTAGCAGATCCCCTATCATATACCAGCTTACCCACCTGGGTTGGAAGTCCTTGAATCGTTCCTCTTCTTACCCAGGATTCTTGAAGGAGGGCAATGTCAAGCCCTTCGGTGGTAAACCTCCTGCCCATGACTGCTGAAGCACCTTTGGCATGGAGGAGGTTGGCCTGTATGATTCAGGACTTCATTCCTGTTTCCTGTCTGAGGGGTCGCTCCTACCCCTCCTCTCTCGGTAGTGGGACCCTCTCCAATCCCCTTGTCTAGGTTAGCTGCTCCTTGGCCGGTGCTGCTCCCTCCTAGTCGTTAAAAGACCCCTGTGCCTCTCCTCCCCCCTTTCCGGATATACGGCCTGTATATCTAGTGCGGCCTTGGCTATGCCCAATGGTTACGGAAATAGTAAAAAAATTGTAAATTTAAAATTTCCATGTTATTCTTTTAGAGAATAAATAAACTGTTGTAGTTTGCTTGTTTATGGATTTACTTTATTCAAATTTGGTAAATTTGTTTATTTCATTATAAGCTATCAACATTTCAATAAAAAAACACACCTCAATATCTTCTTTATAGCGGCAAATACTCACTAAACTTTCGACGTTAGATAGTAACAAAACCAAGGTTTGGACTGTTCCTTCTCAAAACGTAAAAAATGCCACTGACGTAAAAACACAAACGAATTTGCGTTAGGAAATAAATCTGACAATTTTTAGGGAATATTTTAGTAGAAATCCAGCTGTGTTTATTGAAATTTGCTTAGTTGGAGGTTTGGTGCGGCAGGAGTATTTTTTGCTATTTTAATTATGTTGAGTTTGGGTCTCCCTAAAAGTGGAGAGGTTTCTATAGACCCAGCATGCTATTTCCAAAATATGGTGATTGTAAAGTTAGAACTTGAAAGTTTTGAAACAGTTTTTTTACTAGGGGTTCTGGTGGGAACTTTGCTAATAATTTGTACTACTTTTTTTGTAATCTTAAAATATTTTTTGAATAAGGAGAGTTACCCCAGATTAAGATACCACATGTCATTAATGATGAGAAATGTGCATGATATATTATTAGCTGGGTTTCTAGATTCGTTACCTGTGAGGTTATTCTTTTTGAAAAAATGCTAAAAGTACTAATTTTTTACTTACGTTTTCAATTTATGGTGCCCAGTTAAGAATTTAATTCAAAAAATTTTTTTTAAGAGGTTGGCGACCTCTTTTAACCTTGCATTTGCACGTTCACATAGAATACAGATCTGTGCATGGAACGTATCCAGCAAAGCAAGAGGTGAGCCGGTACAGTACGAAGGTGACCTGTACTGATAAATTTAAGTGGCAGTGACCAGGATCCGAACCCATGACATCGCTGCCTTGGGCCCGAAGTCCATGACGCTACCTACTGAGCCACCGACTCACAAAATTAAACCGAGGAAGTTTACATTTTGTTGTGGAGATAATTTGTGATTTGAAAGGATAATGTGATTTTAATCATCTTCTCTGTAGTTAGCCGAAAAGTTGATGATTTGTGTTTTTTCCACATTTAGGACCAGACCATTTGCCCGGAACCAGTTACCTAGAGCAGAGAATTCTCTGTCTATGCTAGTCTGCAGGAAGTCAACAGTGGGTCCCCTATAAAAAAGCATCGTGTCATCTGCATATTGGAAAAGTTTCATTTTTGTTATATTTGGCAGATCATTTACATAGATTAAAAACAAAGTAACAAAGTTACTAGGGTAATGTAAATTACTTTTTGGTGGTATATTGAAATTCACCCCCACCCCCAAATAGGGATTGCTGGGAATAACTTAAAATTTTAAATGGCAACCTCTATCAAGTAGCACATCATTTTAAAGAGATTAAAAAAGGAAATTAATGCTGCAAATCCAACTTTGATACGCCAAATTTAAATATTTTAGACGTTAATTTAACAGGGTGTCCGGGCAAACCGGTAACTATGCGTGATTTGTTTGAACTGGGAATTATGTGTGAATTAAGTATTTTACTGGGAATTTTCAATTTGTCGCGATCGCGCATAAAGATGACTTTTCCGTGACCGCGCATGACGACGATGACGTTTCCGTGACCGTGGGAGACGATGATGATGCCCAAACAGTCCAGATATGTTAGTGATTTTGCCACGATCGTGCATGCAGACGAAGACGTTTCTGTGACCGCGGTAAACTATTATCGTGAGTGAGTCGGTGGCTCAGTCGGTAGCGTCGCGGACTTCGGGCCCAAGGCAGCGATGTCGTGGGTTCAGATCCTGGTCACTGCCGATAACATTTTATCAGTACAGTTCACCTTTGTACTGTACCGGCTCACTCCTTGCTTTGCTGCAAACGATCCACGCACGGGCGCTTAGTATATGTGGACGGGCAAATGCAAGGTTAAAAGAGGCCGCCAACCTCTTAAAAAAAAAATTATGATGTCCATAAAATATTGCTTGAGGATGAAGATCGCAGAAAATTATTTGAATTAAGCTACGATCGAAGAAGATGATAATAACTTTAATGTGATCGCGGGAGTCGATTATAATGTTTCCGTTACCGCTAAACAATATCAGGATTTTGTCACAACCACGGAAGACAGTACAGTGAACCCCCTCTTAACCGACCCTAATGGGACTGGACCTAGGTCGGATAACTCAAAAGGTCGTTTGAAATGGGCAATCCCTAAAATCATAACATAATGAAGTGCTATTCATTTGGAATTATATAATCATTATTTTTAAGTCATACTTGCATTATTTATAAAATAAACTACTCTTATCTCCTTTTTCGTATTTATATAAGTCACAAATAAACACAAAACACCGTTAAGTCAAACAGGCCTACTTTCAGTGGAATATATTATAATACTAGGCAAGAGTCAATAAAATTCCTATTTTAATAACTTTAGTACTGTATGTATTAATTGATCCTTTCCAAATCCATAGTAATACAGTACAGAACCTTTAGTCAAAATTAAAGATACAAGCAACCATTTTGTTACAAGACAGGATGTTTATTTATAGCCTCTCAATGGAGGCTCGAGGCACAAAAACTATCTTGACCTTGGAGTTGTTACCCCCTTCCCCTCCCTCCCTATAAGTTGCGTTGTTTGTTCACTCCAGCGATAAGATAATCAGTTCTCAAAATCGTAATGCACTTTATGATGCTATACATTTGCCGCACAGATAACAAATCAGATCAGATGTGCTCGAGCTGAACGATGATAACAAACTGACAATAGGCTATGCTATATTTTTTTTATCAATACAAAATAACTTATTGTTAGTCATATCCTGTGGAGATAAGCTATGGTTCAGTTCTCATCACCCAGCGTGGGAGCGGAAATGCCGAGATTCCTAGAAAGCGGCGGTTAAACCGAACTGCTCTCAAAGCAAGGTCGGTTGAAACAAACTGTATTATCTTACAATCGAAGGCGGATAATCTGATTATCGGTTAATACGAGGTCGGTTAAGAGGGGGTCTACTGTAGTGATGTTTTTGTTACTGAGTGAGATATTCAGGATTTTTCAGTTATCGCAGAAAACAATAATTGTGTCTCTACAACAGTGTTAAATGATCACGATATAACCTAGAGTTTGGCTTGACCAAAAATTTCAAAATGGCACACTTCTAGAAAGTTTTATTTTTATATTTTTGTAATATCTTGATTTACCTCAAACGTGGTATTTATTTATTGTGTTTAGAAGGGTTTAAAACTTAAATTGTCTAAGTGAAATTTTTGTAATTTCTGCATTAATTATTTCTGTAGGCCACTTGAAAAACAACCCATAACTCCAAAATTACATACTATATGAAAGTACATAAAGACAGTTTTGAATTTTCGGTTTATTTAATCAGTAACATATAAAAGTTGAATGCTTGTGTCAGGCAATAATACAGTAATCGTAAATATTGTTTCTTTAACCGAGAAATTTCTTTCCAATAATTAAAAAAACCGAGCTGTTTTAGCGCTAAAACAGCATTGCAGGAGTGGCGCAAAACACGTTGAAACGTTTAGTATGATAAGTACGACCTGATTTAGCTGGAATTATATTTTACTTATGCAGTTTTTCTGGTTGGCCTGGTGGACACCCTGTTTAACAGGAACTTTATATAACATATTTTTTTTTTCATGGCTGTAAATTTTCAAAAACCCTTCAGTACACAAGACCAGGGTGATGTCACACACTTTTTAACATGATTTTGAATTTCATCATCTTGTGCAAATAGGGGTTGATGGTGGGGTTTTGATTTTTTGAATACCATACCCCATAATGAACTCACCATTACTAAAGATGAACTTTAAACAAGGAAAGCTTTATTTCCTTTTTATTTATAGTTTGTTTTAGTAATGGTCTGTTATTTATAGGCCTGTTTCAATTACTCTAAAAATAATTTATTTTCAGTGCTGTGGAAAACTGATCGGAATTGATGATTTCTTCAGGTGTCCAACCATACAACCATTTATAGAGGTTATTCTGAAAGCAATACCTAAACGAATTACTGACGAAAGTACACAGGTGGCAATATCTGCATTGACTGTCACTGCTATGATCGAGAAGTCAGTACTGTATTATCTGTTACAAATATTAGTGTTTAAGACATGTATTGAAAGGTTGTAATAAGAAATTAAGCATTTTTGTGCGGGTATCCGAGAAATCAGGGTCAGGTTTGGTTCAAATTTGATATCCCTAACTATCTGTTACATATCCGACTTTTCCGGATAGATTATGTATTTTGAAATTTTAAACTTATATCACGATTATAAGATTATAAGTTAGGGGTTTGCGGGTCAGACTTTTTGGGTTTGGGTCAGTTCGGGCCTGTAATTCTGTCCTGTATTGTGTCATACAGTAGTATAGATAGATAAGACATACTGCAAGAGATTAAAATCGAAACACAACTGATTTTGATAACTAATAAAATAAAAAGAATTAAAATTCTATTAACTCAAGTCAAACAATATCACAATTAATTAAGTACCCAAAAAGGAACTATTTATTAACTTATAAAAGATAATATTTAAATCAAGAGAAAGGAAAATTAAATGCCAACTTGGCAACATAAGCAGAGACACAAGTGCCCTAGGTATTTCGTAACACAAGTCAATGTTTTTGAAACTACAGAGTCTTTTTCTTGGAAGGAAGGGTAGTGGGATGTAAACAAAAAACCATAAATCACTCTCACCAGCCAGGCCCTGGGCATTCAAGGTCATAGACCCTCCCCTCCCCTCTTACACCACCCAGGGCTCCAATTGCTGATAAAATTGTGTAAGGAAACAAGGAAGTAGAGACAAAAATATATATTTAAATATTCAAAAACATAAAACTGTTACAGATTATTTTCAATGAAATTAATTCATGGTAGTTTATGTCTTGTAAATAGTGTATTTGATCTTAGAAATGTGTTTTTTGAAACCCCTATCTAACTTAAGAAAGAAGTCATATTACTGTTTTAAAACTATCCAAAAATTATAAAAATATTTAGGCCTAACCTCTTTGTTGACTTACTTGCTGATTCCAAACCAGACAATCAGAAGTAGCGTTATTACTGAATGACAAAAAGGACAATAGGAAAATGAAAGAACAACATACAGATCTGTACACTATATCAGATATTTCTTTTCTTTATTCTTAAACGTCATGAGCAAACTTAATATTTAATTTTCATTTGAACATTTTAATTCCTCTGCAGTGATATATATATGATATATTATATGATATATAAGACTGGGACGGGTGGCGTCGTCCTGTAATCCAGCTACTAGGAGGTCACGAATTGTGGATATTTATAGGGATGCACTGTGGATGCGATGCTCCCTGGTGTGGATTAACGTCCGCGCTAGTGAGTACTACGACTATCCGCAGTACTATCCTGATAATTAGACCAATTTGTAAATTACAAGGAAAAATGTGGTTCGGATTCCACTATAAACTGTAGGTCCCTTAGTTGCCATTAGCTGTATGGGCTATTAATTAACAGCTGTGTCTAAGGAATATGTCGGCCTTAGTCACTAACAAGACTACAAGATCGCGCCACTCATCCTACACTCATCCTTCACTCATATTTGGGTTAAAATACGCACATAGTGGCGTCCCCATCTTAACTAATTGATAATAATAATTATATAATACAAGAGTGTTTCTTTGTAAATAAGTTATTATTCTTTCTTTTTTTTGGCCCGATCCAATCTTGGCCCGAACAAATCTCTGACCTGACCCGGTCTCTCAAGCCTTTCGCTGACCCGACCTGAAAAATTGACTGACCCGCAGACCCCTAATGTAAATTGTTTCCATCAACATACAAGGTACACTGAGACATTGCCAAAGTCACAGTCAAAAAGTTGCCTTGCCATATAAATTGCTTGCATCAACAAATGACATTTTCACTGAGACAATGCTTTGCCATAAAAATTGTTTTTATTAACATACAAGGTATACACTGAGACATTGCCTTGCTATATAACTTTGTTTGCACCAAGATATAAGGTTTTTTTTAAGTTTGAGTAAGCTGTGAATTTAAACTTCATGTTTAATAACTGAATCAAGATTAATGACTCACGATATCACAATTGCGCAGTAGTTTTTTGTATATCAAAATTCAAATTATAACTTTTTAACATATTACATTTATTAATTACTTGAACTTCAAACTATCTGAATCCGAAAATCAGGAAGTTCAAACTTTACAAAATTCCACACCACTTTGCCCTTACCTTAACTTTAACTTTACAATTAAACATTTTTCTGGCCTTATCTCAAGAGCTTTAAATATTTTTCATAATTTTTGTAATACAAATGAAAATTAACATCTTGAACAGTTTTGGCAATAGTGCTTGATACCTTTAGTCACCCAGCTTTTCCTATATTTATATTTGAGTAGGCCTAATTATAATAAAAGTAGACTGCTAAACGGCCATCTCTGTTAGTGAACACGAATTAACGATTTAGCTGAACAGTTTAATATAAGTAAGCAAAGGTATTGCTCATGCATTTATGAAAATAATAAACAAATCTAAACATCTGCACACTCGCCCAATTTCGGGCGGACGAAACTCGTACACACCATAAAACCCGTCCGATATCGGGTGGGCAACACCTATAGGGTTAAAGGGTCTATGACCCTTTCATTGACTATATAGTTTATACAGGGTGTCTCACGAGAGGTGTCTCAAATTGATTACGGAAAAACGTTTTAACGTACAAGGATGAAATAAAATTATTTCCTGCTAAATCCACCCCAAGGAATAACGTTAAAATATTTTTAACTTTTTCCCAATGCAGGGTGTGTCAAAAACTGAGGGTCACTAGTTTGAATCTCGGAATTTTCAAATGTAAACATATGTCATGTTGTACATCATTTTAAAGGTATTTGATAGACAAACATTTTGGCGAAAACAGAAATAAGTTATCTTTTTCCGTTTCAAAATGGCGGCAGTTATTTTTGGAAAAATCTATATTTTTTTAATACTCTGTGTTTCCTATACCAATGCATTTATCCCTTCTCCGGTTGAATTTTCTTACTCGTTATGAAATAAGCTTTACTTTGATATGCTACAAGTAATGGTTTTTTGAAATCATAAAAATTCTAAAAAAGTTTATTTTTGAAAATTTGCAAATGCTCATTTTTCAATAGCAACATATGTCAAGTGGCACATCATTTTATAGGTTTTTTAATTCTTAACAACTTTGTAATTTACACTTACTTTGTATCTCTTTTAGTTTTTGCGTAAATAACAAAAAACCTAATTTTCCAATATCAAATGCATGTTATTTGGGTTTAACACTAAAGGCCCAATTTGATGAAGTGTTAAACCACGTCAAACCCAAATTACATGCATTTGATATAGGAAAATTAGGTTTTTTGTTATTTACGCAAAAACTAAAAGAGATACGAAGTAAGTGTAAATTACAAAGTTGTTAGGAATTGAAAAACCTATAAAATGATGTGCCACTTGACATATGTTGCTATTTCAAATTTTTGAAAAATGAGCATTTGCAAATTTTGAAAAAAATATTTTTTGGAATTTTTATGATTTCAAAAAACCGTTACTTGTAGCATATCAAAGTAAAGTTAATTTCATAACGAGTAAGAAAATTCAACCGGAGAAGGGATACATGCATTGGTATAGGAAACACAGAGTATTAAAAAAATATAGATTTTTCCAAAAAAAACTGCCACCATTTTGAAACTTATTTCCGTTTTCGCCAAAATGTTTGTCTATCAAATACCTTTAAAATGATGTATAACATGAGTCATGACATATGTTTACATTCGAAAATTCCGAGATTCGAACTAGTGACCCTCAGTTTTTGGCACACCCTGTATTGGGAAAAAGTTAAAAATATTTTTACGTTATTCCTTGGGGTCGATTTAGCGGGAAATAATTTTATTTCATCCTTGTACGTTAAGCCGTTTTTCCGTAATCAATTTGAGACACCTCTCGTGAGACACCCTGTATAGTCACGAAGTGTGTTTATAGTCAATGATACACTATGATCAGCAAGTGATCAAGCTGCATATGAAATGTATATAAAGCCTACCACGAGTTACAAAACACGAGTTATAAAAGTACCATTGACTACATAAAAACACGAGTAATAGTAGTAACATTGACTACATAACATTTGTATGTAGGCCTATAATATTTATATATTCAATGCTAGTACCATCTGGCCAATCTGACAACATGGCGGCAAGTGCTATTTTGAAGGAAGATAACCTGTCAATCAACTAGTGTTCTGCTTTTGTTCTACTAGTTGTCAGTTGAACATGTCATTTGTTGTGAAATTTAAAGGCACACAATTTTGGATAATAAAACGATTGTGAATGTGAGCTAATGAACTTGAAATTATTTTTATGTGCTAACTTCAGAGTAGGTATTCCAAATTGATGTGTTACAACCTCCAAAGTCAGTAAAGTTTTGCATCATAATTAACCTCCTTTTTCAGTATTGGTATCGAGTACAATGAAGCAAAGTATCTAGGATCGGTGATTCTTCGTTACCATTTGTATTGAAGGTTTTGAGAATCGGAATTGGCCCATCCTAATTAAAACAATAATTACTATTTCAGTTCAATGCAAGTAGGTATAAATCTTATTTATATAGGAATATTGTGTATTAAATGTATAATTTTGATATTTATTTATAATTTTTAGGAGAGACCCGATCCTTTTAGAAAGTCTTAACTTCTCTCCAGGCTTCATCTACTTACTCCTTCTATCAACTGATCAAGTTCTAAGCCGTAGAGTAGCTGAGTACGTGCATGAAAAAATGATGTGCAGAACTCAGTCAAATGAGGACTACCTTGATTGTTTTTGTATGTTCATAGAAGAAACCTTGGTGAGTAAAGTCAAAAAATATTTCTGGTAAAAGGTTCAAGTGCATGTAATGAATTTCCTTTTGCTAAACCACTAAGTTGCTACGAGGTAGTTTAACAATTCTCAGGATTTATTTCCAGACATTTAGTCTAGTCCCTTTATTAGAAAGTATCATTATCACACTCCTTTTAGAGTCCACCTCAGTATTTTTTCCCCTTTTTTTTGTGAGATGTTGCCAAACAGATTAAACACTTAAAAGAGCGAATTACCGTACTTTCAAATAATATCCCTGAAGAGTCTTCATCACCCGCGGGCTAGTTGCGTTAAGAGGAAGCTACACATATCAATCTCATTTTGAGTTCTCAATCCCAGGATCCTGCCCGGTCAGTTTTCGATACCTAGAAGTCCCAGGATTGCTGTCGTTTAATCCCAGGATTAATAGGATCGCAAAACCTATTATATTTATTTAGGGGTGTGCGATGCATCGAAATTTCGATTTGATTCGATGCATCGAATTGTGATTCGATTCAGTGGTGGTTTTTTTGTTTTTACATTGCAAATGATGAGAGGTTTTGTTTTCTGTCTTGATGTAAGTAGTGTGAGACATGTTTTACTACTGTAAACCTAGCCAAAACAAGATAGGCTACTCCAAAATCATTCTCACAACAGTGCAAAGAAAACAAAGTAAAAAAAAGACTATTTATCGAGAGGTACCAGTTTAATTATCTATTGTTTATTCCATAACTAGTTAAAAATATATTTCAGCAGTTTACATAAAAAAATTATAAACAAAATAAATATCTGATCTAGTGTACGGATCTGTATCTTGTTCTTTTATTTTCTTATTGTCCTTAAAGATTTATTCTTATTAAAGATTATTCTTAAAGATTTTGTCATTCAGTAACAACACTAGTGATCGTCTGGTTCGGCATCAGCAAATAAGTCAACAAAGAGGTTAGGCCTAAATGTTTTATAATTTTATGAAAGTTATCATCAGTAAAATGAATGTTTTCTCAAGTTAAATGGGGTTTCAAAAAAGATATTTCTAAGATCCAATACAATATTTACAACTCACAAATTACAATGAATTAATTTCTTTGAAAATGATCTGTAACAGTTTTGTGTTATTGAATAAAGAAATATATTTTTTTGTCTCCCTTCCTTGTTTCGTCACTTGCATTTTGTCAGCAATTGAAGCAACAGTGGTGTAAGAGGGGAGGGGAGGGTCTGTTAATTGAATTTTTTATGGTCTTTTTATATTAAGTTCCATTCAAATTTGTTGTAATTTAGCTACCTATTTAGTTATTTCAACAGTTATTAAAATGAGAATGAATGTCTTGGTAAAAAAAATTATTTTCTTTTTTCTTGCAGTTGAGCCAATTCCAAGTAAAAATTATGAAATAGGCAAGTAAAGCAGCTCACTGACGTTTCCAGCAATACAGGTTATTTTGATATATGATTGAAAATAAATATTTTTCACCTAAAATTCATATGTTAAATATGGATAGGCCTAATACCACATCAACAAAAATTTGTATTACACAAATGTGGTAAATTTTAATTATTGTTAATCCACTCAATTGACAATTATGAATAGAAAAATACCGTATTGCTTCAAATCGAGTTGCATCGAATCAAATCGAAAATCTTTTGAATCAAATCGTTGTTTCAAATCGAAAAATTTTTGCTGCTTTGCACACCCCTAATATTTATCTTTTTATGATTTTGAGTAGTTTTAATTTTCGGAAAATAAATCAAATTACTCTAATAACTCTTGAAACTGTTTACTTATAGGACAAAAAATATATATAAGAAATATGGTATAAGCTGTGATTTATTTCAATTGGACAATTTAATTATCAATAAACTCAATAGGTGAATGAAGTGTTAATGTATGTTTCAAGTGTATTAGAAGTATTTTGATTTACTTTCTGTGTAAATGAACGTTATCACATTAGTTAGAAGCTAATTACAGCAAGTTCATTTGTGTTTTACTTTTGACATTAAACACAACAATGCAATTGATATGGCAAACATAACATTGCAATCGGTAATTGAAGTATTATTTTAGTGATGGTCGGATCCGGATATCGGACTACCGGATCCGCCGGATCCGAGCTAGAACCGGCACCGGATCGGATCCAAAAAATCCCGGATCTTGGGCTGGATCCGGTTTTGATGGATCCGATTTTTAAAAATTTTTTCCTAACACAAAGCTGTCTGTATCACTGTACAACCCCGATTTTTTTACCAACACAAAGCTGTCTGTATCACTGTACAACACCGATTTTTTTACTGACACAAAGCTGTCTGTATCTCTCTACAACCCCGAATGTTTTTACTAGCACAAAGCTGTCTGTATCACTGTACAACCCCGATTTGTTTACTAAACACAAAGCTGTCTGTATCACTGTACAACACCGATTTTTTTAACTAACACAAAGCTGTCTGTATCACTGTACAACCCCGATTTTTTACTAAGACAAAAAGCTGTCTGTATCACTGTACAAAACCGATTTGATTACTAAATACAAAGCTGTCTGTATCACTGTACAACCCCGATTTTTTACTAAGACAAAAAGCTGTCTGTATCATTGTGCAACCCCGACTTTTTACCAACACAAAGCTGTCTGTATCACTGTACAACACCGATTTGATTACTAAACACAAAGCTGTCTGTATCACTGTACAACCCCGATTTTTTTACCAACACAAAGCTGTCTGTATCACTGTACAACCCCGATTTTTACCAACACAAAGCTGTCTGTATCACTGTACAAAACCGATTTGATTACTAAACACAAAGCTGTCTGTATCAATGTACGACCCCGATTTTTTACTAACACAAAAAGCTGTCTGTATCACTCTACAACCCCCAATGTTTTTACTAACACAAAGCTGTCTGTATCACTGTACAACCCCGATTTGTTTACTAAACACAAAGCTGTCTGTATCACTGTACAACCCCGATTTTTTTACCAACACAAAGCTGTCTGTATCACTGTACAACCCCGATTTTTACCAACACAAAGCTGTCTGTATCACTGTACAACCCCGATTTGATTACTAAACACAAAGCTGTCTGTATCACTGTACAACCCCGATTTTTTTACCAACACAAAGCTGTCTGTATCACTGTACAACCCCGATTTTTACCAACACAAGGCTGTCTGTATTAATGTTCAACAAAGATTTTTTACTAAGACAAAAAGCTGTCTGTATCACTATGCAACACCGAGTTTTTACCAACACAAAGCTGTCTGTATCACTGTACAACACCGATTTGATTACTAAACACAAAGCTGTCTGTATCACTGTACAACACCGATTTCTTTACTAACACAAAGCTGTCTGTATCACTGTACAACTCCGATTTTTTACTAACACAAAAAGCTGTCTGTATCACTCTACAACCCCGAATGTTTCTACTAGCACAAAGCTGTCTGTATCACTGTACAACCCCGATTTTTTCCTGATTCTTTTACTAACACAAAGCTGTCTGTATCCATGTACAAGACCGTTTTTTCCCCGAATGTTTGTCTCTTGATGCAAACAACTTATATGGCAAGGCCATGTCTCGATGTTTGTATCTAGATGCAAATAACTTGTATGGCAAGGCCATGTTTCAGTGTTTGCCTCTTGATGCAAACAACTTATATGGCAAGGCCATGTCTCGATGTTTGTATCTAGATGCAAATAACTTGTATGGCAAGGCCATGTTTCAGTGTTTGCCTCTTGATGCAAATAACTTATATGGCAAGGCCATGTCTCAGCGTTTGTCTCTTGATGCAAATAACTTATATGGCAAGGCCATGTCTCAGTGTTTGTCTTTTGATGCAAATAACTTATATGGCAAGGCCATGACTCAGTGTTTGTCTCTTAATTCAAATAACTTATATGTCAAGGTTATGACTCAGTGTTTGTCTTTTGATGCAAATAACTTATATGGCAAGGCCATGTCTCAGTGTTTGTCTCTTAATTCAAATAACTTATATGGCAAGGTCATGTCTTAGTGTTTGTCTCTTGGTGCAAATAACTTATATGGCAAGGCCATGTTTCAGTGTTAGTCTCTTGATACAAATAAACAACATATATGGCAATGGCATGTATCTTTCCGAACTGAATCCGACCCGATTTTTCGGATATCTTCACACCTCTAGTTTTTAATTTTGTACCTGGGTGATAAGCTAACGGCCTATAATTTCGTCTCAAAAATATCCCGTTAGTATTTTAATCTCACCCGATGCTTCGTGATAAAAAATAATAAAAGTATGATTTAAATTGGGATTAAATTGGTTGGTGTTAATTACGTTTTTGTTTTACTCGCCCTTATGTCAGTGTGTATCTGGATCCGGATCCGAAGATCCGAAGATCCGGATCCGAATTTTTCAAGATCCGGATCCGGTACCGACATTTTCTTGGATCCGCCCATCACTATATTATTTTCTTAATATGCAACATTGAAGGCCTAAAGATTAACCCCTTCGCTTAAACTTATTTTTACACCTAACTGGGCCAAAAAAATGAATTATTTCTGTGTATTTTTACACAATTTACAATATTTTTATCTCCACACAGAATTTTGTATTTTTATATCAAATGCTGTTATTTTTCTAATAATTAAATAACTTACGTCATTTAATTTAATAATTACGTCATTAATGTTATTATTAATTACGTCATTTAATAATCATTTGATAACTCAATCCGTTGTGCTACAATATCGACATTATCTTATTTTCCTAATCAGAATTGAATGTAGATTTTTAAAAACACGTTTTATTGGTTAAAAGTATTTTTATTTTTTAACATCACCTAAAACAAAACAAAACAAAAATTAAAAAATAATTTTTTTGCCTTTTTTTAATTTTTTTACTATAAAAGGTTAATTCTACTTTTCTACCTTAAAATACTGATTGACATGTCATAGACTCACCAAGATATCAGTCAAAGTTCAACTTAGTAGGATATGTCTTGAAACATTCGGGTAGGTGAAGCGCAACAAGGCAAATTTCGCACTCC